CCTTCCTTCCTTCCTTCCTTCCTTCCTTCCTTCCTTCCTTCCTTCCTTCCTTCCATCCATCTCTTCCTCCTCCCTTCCTGCCCTCTATCCATCCATCCATCCATCCATCCATCCATCTCTTTCTTCTGTCCCTTCGTTCCTTCCCTCCTTCCCTCCCTCCCATCTTGCCACTTCCTATCCACCCACTGCTGGTGGACCCATCGTCCTGGCTTTCCTGGCTGAGGAACTCTGGGAGTTGAAGTCCACAAGTCTTCAACGTTGCCAAGGTAGGAGACCCCCTGCTTGAAGAGCTGGGGGCAAAGTGCGTGGGGCGTGGGACGACGAGAGGCCCGCCCTCTTGGGATGACCGAGGCACCGGGGTGGTAGGCTTAGGAAGAGGCTGCGTCCGGCGGGTCAGTCCCCCTCTCGGCCTTCCGACAAAAGGCCGAGACGGGGCCAGGAAGGAGCGACGTCCAATTCGCTCCCCTTCCACCATCGTCCCACGGCTTCCAGCCTCGTCTAACCAGGGATTTTGGGGGGTGGGTGGGGGCAGGGTCAAGCAACTGGTGTTAGCGACACATGCGGGGCCGGGGAAAGGAGCTGCGGCCAGAGGACGGACACTCACGATTCGGCCAGCTCGGCTCTTTCCTCGGTCCGTTCCAGGTCTCCTTCGATGATCACCAGTTTACGAGCAACCTGGGAGAGGAAGAGGAAGGCGGGGCAGAGAGAGAGGGGGAGGAGTTAAGGAGGGAAAAGAGGGGGGGTGGGTGGGTTTGATTTGAGGAGGTGGGCTAGAAACCGGGAAGACGGCGAGTTCTAGTCCCGCCTTAAGCACGGAAGCCGGCTGGGGGACTTTGGGCCAGCCTCTTATCACCCGATGCCCAAGAAGGGCCTTAAAACCTAAAGACTCTAGTCCTCGTGAGGCTGAAAGGAAGGCGGCACGGACGAAGATGATCTCCGTATCCGCTGAGAAACGGGGGGGGGGGGCAAAATTCTCTCGACCTGAATATTTCGACCTACGCCCAACCCCGCCCCTTCTCAAGCACCCCAGGTGATCGGGGGGGGGACGGGGGGGAGACACCCACCTCCTCGTACTTCCGGTCGGCCTCCTCGGCGATGTGCTTGGCCTCCTTCAGCTGGATCTCCTGTAGCTCCATCTTCTCCTCGTCCTTCAGGGCTCTGTTCTCAATGACCTTCATGCCCCTGTCAGGGATGAAGGGATGGATGGATGGGTGGATGGATGGACGAAGGAGGGAGGATGGAACAGACAGGAGAAGGAGGAAGGGAGGAAAGAAGGAAGGAAGGGAGAAAAGAAGGGAGGGAGGGAGGGAGGGAGGGAGGGACAGGGGAAGGAGGGAAGGAATAGACAGGCGAAGGGAGAAAGGGAAGGAGGAATAGACAGGGGGAGAAAGGAAGGAGGAAGGGACAGAAGGAAGAAAGGAGGACAGGAAAGAAGAGATGGGTGAAGGGAGAGAAAGGAGGGAAGGAAAAGAGGGACAGGAGAAAGAAGGAAGGAAGGAAGGAAGGAAGGAAGGAAGGAAGGAAGGAAGGAA